GTATTTTGTAAAAAGGGGGTGGGGGAGTGAGGCATTCCCGGGTAGCAAAGCCAAGGAGGGAGCAAACCCTCGAGGTGGTTGTAAACTCTACCTGCTGAGAACCGGGGTCTCAACTGTCCATTAACAAATTAAAAGCAGAAAGACTGAAACTCGGATTGGAGGAGAGAAGGGCGTCCACGCCTCAAGCAGTCTTTTTCTCTTTGTTTTTAAATGCTACTGCAGTGTTGTTTCTCGCTGTCTGAAAGGACCACAGCGTCTAAAACCCTGATTGTCATCCTCAGTAGGAGAACAGGTTTCCAATTTCATCAGCTGGTACAAAGTGTGTGTGTGTGTGTGTGTGTGTGTGTGTGTGTGTGTGTGTGTATGCGCCCGCGGTAGTTTAAAATACTAGCGAAAATGTGGCCTTTCCAGGACAGCACTTTTTCTGGTAAAAAAAAAAAAATGCCAATTATTTCGCCCACAATTTTGACCATATTTTGTTCCTGGCTGGCCCGTCCATCTTTTAACTAATCCATCCGCTTTAGATACTCTTCCAGGTGGATTCACTCAGCCTAGAGAAGGAATCTCTACGACCTTGAAGAACTTAGAAGTTCCCATCTGGTTAAGGTGGTGGAGCATGCATACAGCTTATGGGACTGAGCCATCGGGTATTAGTGTGAACTGCTCCTTCAAGGATATGGATACTAGTCCCACTGGCTTTGGTCATCTGAAGGAGGTAGTCTGGGCCTTTTTAGAGTCTTCTCCTGGGGAAAATTGGGGGAAAGGAGAAATGGAGCGGAGAGAGCATATGGGCCACCAGCAACCTCCTCAACTTAACTCTGACCTACCCATCCCTATTAAAGCCACCCTCCATCCGCTTACAATCCTAGAAAATAGTGAGCGCGACCCAAACAAGAGAGACTTAGCGGGTGGTTCCCCCTGGAGTCCCAGGCTGGGAGTAAGGAAGAGGTTTTTGCTTGCCCCAGGGCCGATGATAAGGGGGAAACCGGCCTGGCCAAGGTATCGAAGCTCTCTCTCTCTCTCCCCAGACCCGAAAGTCTTGCAGCAAGTTCACAAAGGAACCCCCTCCCTGGCTGGCACCCCCCCGCGGAGCGTGAAGAAGTCAAGGCCAAGTCAAAGCCAAGGTCCCAAGAAACGAAGAAGGAGACAAGCGATTTTAAGCTGGAAAGGCGAAGGAGGACTGGGCGGCCTGGCCTAGGCCGCCTCGCGACCCCGCTCCAAAGCCTGAGCCACCTTCGCTGGGCCCAAAGCATAGTGCTAAGAACCAGGGAGGGTTCACCACACCTGCAGCCGGGCGCAGGGAGGAGCGCGCTGCCTGGACGGCTTTATATACTACTACCAGATTGGCTCCAACCCTGCGGTAGTGTGTCCTGTGCCCCTCACATGCCTCAGCCAGAACCTAGCTCCCTGACTCAAGAGGGCTACTGAGACTTGGACCTGGAAGATATCCCTGGGCCGCCCAAGACGACGACAACAGTTGCGTCGTCCCACGAAGCTCAGGCCATGGCCTCCCGCCTTGTTTGGCCCTGAAATCAGCCTGGCACGGTCTGCTTTCAGAGACTCCGCGGACCTTACTAGATGCTGCACCTAGGGCTGCGCTATGATCCGGGTTCTGAGATGTGCGTGAAGAGGTGGCACTGCCCTGGCGGGAGCCGAAAATAGTGACACCCTCACTGCCTGAGCCTCAGAAGAGCAGAATGGCAAGAATGGCCTCCGCAGTGTGCCGGCGACAGAAGTTCCCCAGTTCTCTGCAGCCGTGGATAAGAGGAGCAGATTCCCAGTCTGGAGTCCTGCCTGCAGGCTTTGCCAAAGACCTTCAGGCGAGGCGTGGGGAGGGCAGTTAGCAAGTGAAGCCCGCGCTAGCCACTCACCCGCTCAGCCGCTGCGGAGCAGAGGAAAGGCAGTTCAGCTCGGGTTTGGTGCCAGGTATTCGGCTGGCCCTAGGCGTGCGGGGGAGAACTGTGTAACTAGGATCCATGTTCAGCAAACAGAGCTCCCCTATAAGCGCCACCCTACTGTTCTTTCCTGGAAGCTTCTATTCCAGTTCGGAGTCAAGACTGAGCTGTCCTCGCCTAGAGAATAGGGTTCGAGAACGGCGGTGCCCAACCAGGAGATGCCTTTCTTTCTCCCTGTAGCTCAAGGGCTTCTTAAGTCCCTATCTGCTAAGCCAAAAACTCGGGAACTGCGGGCCAAATCCCTTGGCCTTTGAGAATTTAGGAAGCTTCATTCTCAGCCAAGAGGTCAAAGTGAGCAGGCAGCCAGGACCCAAGCAATCTTGTGCTGAGATTTAAGAAAGAAACAAAAACAAAAATCGTCCGAGTATTTTTTTTTTCATCTCACTTGGCAAAATGCTGTAAGGTTTCATTCTAAAAACACGTTATTTAAAAGCCATTGTCCATTACTTTTGGCTATCTTTATGAGATCTGTAGAGGAGAAAAGTGGCTCTTGATTCAGTTAAACTTTGACGCCGAGAAGGTAAATTGGAGGTCCCTTAACAGCTGGTTCTCGAAGATTTCCTCGAGGGAAAAAAAAATATGGTTAGTTCCCCTAATGATAGATCTAAAATGATTGCCAAGAAAACTCAGAGCAATATCCAGCTTTCTCGCCTTCTCTCGCTTGTCCCTCTTTTTAGCCAGACTGAGCCGAGGATGGCGGAAAGAGGCATATTGTGCAATTTCTTATTAAACACATCTGGAATATACGCGCTCTGGATCGAGTGCCAGGGATTTTACAAAGAGTTTATGGCTGTGATAGAAAATTGTCCCTTTAACGAGTTTACAAGCAGTAATCACGGGGGCTTTTACAGGACCGGCCTTCCTTGCTCCTCGCCAGATCTGTAGACATTTCCAAGATTCACCAACCAAAGGAGCAGGAAGTGGGCCGGCGCACCCTGGGAGACAGAACTTCCACGAGTCTAAAATTATGCCAGGGGAAGCTGGAAGAGTGGGGGGTAGTCATCGAAGTAGGAAGAGAGGGCATGTAAGAAATTAAAGTAATTGGCCCTTCCTTATTTTCCAGAGAGATTTCCGCGGCATCTTTTGAAGCCTGCCAGGGTCAATGAAAGCTATCTTTGTGCAGGGTGTTTGTTTTGGGGAGTGAATGTGAAGAATGTGAGGAGATTCCCTGTGAGAGCCCCTCCTGCAGAGGGTGGCATTTCTCCGTGGCCCAAGACGTGGAGAATAAACACCCTCGTGACTTAAATAAACACCGATTTAATGATCCAAAACACTAACAAGGGAGATCGGGACCCTGAGCTCCCAACCCAAATGATGGTCTCTGAGCGGCTGTGTGTACATCTGTCCATCACTGAGGGGAAAAATGACTTTATAAGTGACTACAGTTAAAGTACAGTACTACTTCTTCCTTAAACTCAAAACAATTGGACAATGTTTTTTTTTAATCTCATAAGAAGGCCTTAATTTCCCCCACATACTTCAGTCTCTTAGATCACAACAGAAACATTAAGAAAGAATAAGAAAAGAATATATTAATGGTGACACGGATGGGAAAAATAAAAATTATGAAAACGTCATGTCAGAAAATAAATAGACTCTCTCTGGGGAACAATATTTTACAAAGCACAAACCAGCCGATCCTGTTATCCTGAGTCGAATTTTAATAAATAATGCCACTTGTTTCACTAATTTTAAAAGCTAAATACAGAAGATACATCATTTTGCTCCAGGCAAAAATAACATGGAGCCTACATGATTACTGGGATTTTTCTGGACACTATCCCGCAGCACTGTAAAAGAGTTCCTGTCCTGCTGGTCTGCTTTCTCTTTGTACAGATTAATTCACAATGCTTAAATCCTTGTTCAAGTTCCTTTCCCCCACCCCAAACAGATAAATTATTTTACTTTCACAGTCTTACCATAAACTTATTAACACAAAAGAGCTGAGTTAACATATGAATGCTGTGAAGAAGAGCTAGTGGTAAACAAAACTGTGTTATCTAATAATAATAAAAAATAAATACCCTAAGGCTAAATTCACTATCTGTCATATAATTAACCCAGTCCTTACTCTTGGTTCAGGTGAAAGCCTTCAAAGTGCCCTGCAATTCATAACCACTATTAAGTAAAAAAGGAAGAAAACTTAAAAAAAAAAAAAAAATAGGGCCCAAAGACACTACTCACCTTTCAGAAACAGAATCATACTCCTGGTGTTCTACTGAATTTTAATTTAGACTGGTTTAGGTACAATAGAAAAGAAACCTGAAAACACATGCTGTTTTAGTAACAAATACCAGGTTGCCAGATTTGTTGGCATACTTTTGCAAGCTAGAAACTAGGAACAGGAGAAACCCCTTAACAGGAGTAGGAGACAGATATGAAAGCTTTGTGGGCATGAGAAGTAATGGCATTCAGGAAAGTGTGTTTAACATTGGTACATTTTTAGTTTGTCATTAAAAAAAAAAACCAAGAAAACAAACAACCAAAAAACCCTACTAAATTTGACAAAAATAGTTATATTACTAATGGTCACTTCTATTTCTAACTGCTTCACATAGAGAGCATTAAGACATTTAGGCACTTGTTTTCTCCCTAATACTGTTCTTTTTATTTTACTCTACATAAAATTATTTAACACCAAATATGAAAAATGTAAACTTAATTTTCCCATCAAAAAATTATAAGATTTTATTTTTTCCTATTCACCTTAAGAATGCAACCAGTTCCTCCCAGGCTGGAGGCTGTTATTTTCACTACTATTTTGATCTCTGTTTCTCTTTCTCTCTCTCTCTTCTCTCTCTCTCTCTCTCTCTCTCTCTCTCTCTCTCTCTCTCTCTCTCTCTCCTTTTCTCTTTTTCTTTTTTCTTTTCCCTTTTCCTCTTCCCCTCAAATTTCTCCATAAATAAATTAAAAGAAAATACTTAAAATCCAGTTGATTTATAATTACCATTAATTAGAAAAGGAAAAACAAAAAGCAAGTCTATTGAAGTGGGTGCATGGGTTTCCAAATCCAAGACTGGGTGCTTTTTTTGTTTGGGTTTTTTTCCTGATTCTGCACTAGGAGGGGAAATGCACGAGGGGAAATGCACCAGGGGAAAGAGAGAGAAGAGGGAGGCTGTTTGAGATGGATGTTGGTTTTGATTTTTAAAAAGACATTGTGAACGTCCACCATTCCTTTATGCGCAAAGAATCCCAGAAACAAGCTGCAAAAATGTTCCTGATTTCTATTTACAAGTGTCCCTAGTTGCTGCAATTGGTTGCTGCTCCAGCCATCCCTTTGAGGCCCCAATCCCATCCCACTTAGGACCCCAAGTCCACCAGACTGGAGGTAAGGGGGCCGAGCAGAGAGTCCTGGAGCTGATGCTGATGGGCCTGCAGGCCATGGCTGGGCTGAGAGGCCGTGAGGCCTGGGAGAGAATAGTTTGAGCTCCTGGCGTGGCCCATATTGCCCTGCAGCAGAAGGACCGAGTTCTGGTCTGGACTTTGGGGAGGTGAGAATTCCTCTTCTGAGCTGGACATGAGCGGCTTGCCCCCTTCCAGAGGAGAGAGTTGATTCTGCTTGTTGGAGGAGGAGTTATTGTTTTCGGTGTTCTCCCTAAGAAATAGAGGACAACACCATATGGTTAAAAAACAAAAAAAGTGTGAGGAGAGGGGAGGGGAGCTAAAAGGAGGAAAGAGTCATTGTACAATCTGTCACCAACCCAAAAGGAGGAGCTTTGCCTTCTTACCCATCCCTAAGGGTCTTGGGGGAGGTGAGGAGGCAGAAGAGATTGGAGAAATGGGGAGCTAAAGGAGATTCTGACGCTGGGATCTAGATCCCCTTCTCTTCCAGATTTCGGAGAGTCAAATACTTTAGTGTTTATTTGAAACAAACAAAAAATGTGTTCTTAATTTTGTTCAAGCAGTAATGTTTAAATACCTACCAATTAGCACCATATTTCAAAGTAAGTTTGAAACTCTTCCAGCAAATGGTTGTTGGTGATAAAAGAAATGATCAGGTTTGGGATGAATCAAGTCAATTGCCTGTTTCCTTCTAAAGAAAGAATTAAATATCGAGTCTCCCTGCCCCTGCCCAGAGATTGTGGTTTCGGAGACACAGGACAGGTCATGGGAAGTGGTGTCCAGAGCGGCCCAGTGACCTGAGTAAACACAGGGAGCTCAGCCACTCTCTCCCATTTCATCAGAGAGCGGGCCCTCGGGCCTGGCTTATAGGACCGCGGTTTTGTAACTAAAGGCTAACTGGAACCTTAGGATGCCTGTTCCCGAGTTACTTGTTCACTCCTAAGCCCTTCACAGCCCCCTCGCAAACTCCCCACAAGCACCCACTCCAAACCTCCCTTTCCCGAAAAGGGAGTCGCCCGCCCCCGCGGACTTCGAGCCGGCACCCGGCACCACGCGCCGGAGTGTCAGTCCCGGTACTCGGTGCTGGTTAACTTCAAAATTTCGCCGCTTCCGCCTTTCGAGCGCTCGCGGTCTTCCCCACGCCTAACGCCCGCCTGCCATCCCCTTTCTTTTCCCTTCTTTCCTGGAGAGACCATTTCAGCGGAATTTATCCAGGTTCTACGGTTTTCCAAACAGAGGGAAGGAGGAAGCGAGATCTTCAAGCCGCAGGAGGAGCAGGCGAACAAAAGAAATCTAGCCGGCCCCTGCGCTCAGGTCTCCCCAAAACTCCTTGGCTTCGCGGAGCGCTTTCCCGCCACCGTCGCCTCCCCAGCGCTCTTCCGAATCTGTCAGAAACTCTACAGCGAACGGATGGAGGCTAGCCAGGTGGCCGAGGGTGTTGGCGCGAGGAAGGAGTCAGAGACGGGTTAAAAAAAAAAAATACTGCCTTCTGAGCTCCAGGGCGAGAAGTCAGCGACAAGGAGCCCCTTTCCTCTCCCAGGGCGGCGGTGCGGACAGCCCAAAGGACAGGCTGCGGGGCCCGGCCGTGCGCAAGAAAGCACCGCGAGCAGCAGTCCTTTCTGGGATTGGGGCGCCGGGGAGTAAAGGCAGAGACAACTCTCCCAAAAGCTCTCCTTTCGGTGTGTTTCTTTTCGATTCTTTTGTCCTGTCAATTCGGAATGAAACTTCTCAGCCAAAAGACTACCAGGAGACAGCGAGTGAAGAACCGCGCGCTACTGGGGGCAGAGCAGAAGTCTCAGGGCCAGCTTCACCCGAGAGCAAAAGGAGAGAGGTTCGCGACCCTCAGCCCCCACCGAACCGCTTTCCTCGCGATACCAATGACAACTTCCCTTCCTGCTGATCTAAAAACTCTCTCCACCCGCCACTCCTCGCCGCAGCCAGCCAAGGAGGCAGGAAAAACAAACCTAGCGCCAATATTTCCCGACACTCATACCCCAAAGAAACCCACACGCGGCGCTCAAAGCAAACGAGGCCCCCATCCCTAGCAGACAACCTCAAAGTTCATGAACTTTCTCTGCTGTGGCGCGGAGGCCCGGGCGCCGCCCCGGTGGATGGGCTCCGAGCAGTGGGGAGAGCTAGGTGGCGGCTGCCTGCGGGGGCGGAAAGGGGCGGAGGGGTAAGAAAGACCGCCCGGGGTCGCGCGAGCCTCAGGAAGCACGCAGCGTACCTTTCCTTGGCCTCGGCGGCCCGGTCTCTTTGCCTCCGGTTCTTAAACCAATTGCTGACCTGGGTGGTGGTGAGGCCCGTGGCCTCGGCCAGCTCCCGCTTCTCTCGAGGCGAGGGGTAGGGGTTGTGCGCATACCACTCCCGCAGCACTCCCCGAGACTTCTCCTTGAAGCAGTAGCTGGTCTCTTCGCCGTCCCAGATGGTGCGCGGCAGCGGAAATTTTCGGCGCACCCGGTATTTGCCCACGGCGCCCAGGGGTCGGCCGCGAAGCTTCTCGGCCTCCACATAGTGCGCTTTCAGCCACAGTTGCTGCAGTTTGGGGTGGTTGTGAGGCGAGAACTGGTGGCTCTCCAGGATCTTGTAGAGCTCGCGGAAGTTGCCGCGGTGGAAGGCGACTACAGCCTTGGCCTTGAGCACGCTCTCGTTCTTGTGCAGGTGGTCGCAGGCAGGCAGTGACCACAAGAACCTGCCCAGGCGCTCCAGGTTCCCGCCTTGCTGCAGAACCTCGCACACGCACGCCACTTGCTCCTGCGTAAAACCAAACGACGGCAGCATCGACATGACTGGGGCCTGCCGAGGCGCACCGCCCAGGAGCACGCTGCAGGGAGCACAGCCGAAAAAGCGGGGGGCGGCGGCCTCAGGGAGGGGGGCGCGGCTGCTCCTAACCCCCTCCCTAGGCTTTGCGTAGTCGAAACAGCGAGTTGGAACTTGGGCTGGGCTGCCAAAGAAGAGGAGAAGGAAAAGTGGGGGTAGGGTGCGCTGGACACGGAGCGAGCCGCGCACCCCACAGCCTTTTCGGGCCTCGCTGGCTCCGGCCTGCCGCCGGGTGGATGCTGCTAGTTGCCGGGGAACTTGGTTTCTGTTCTCCTTGCAGCAGCCTTAAAGCGCGCAGCGTCCTCGGCACGCTGATTGGCTGCGGGCGGCGCCTATCCGAGGCTGGCCAGACTGCGCGCCGCCCGGCTGGGCAGCAAGGCCGCGCCGCCCAGCGCGGGGAGGGCGAGGCTGCGGAGCTGGGGGTAGGGAATAGTGGGAGGAGAAGGACTAGGGAGAGGTGGGAAGCGAGGTGGGGTCGGGAGGAGAGAGCCGAGGTGCGGGGGGGTGGGGGGTGGGGGAAGTGGGGGGTGAGCGTGTCCGGACCCTGCAACGCGGGGCCCCCCTCTCCAGTGTCAACTAAGGGGAGCCACGCGCATCTTTCTGCACAAATCAACGACTCCAGATATTCTATTTCCTCTCCTCTCCCTCGGCACTTTCGTCTCTGTCTCTTTCAGACTTGCCCTTTCCCGGTGAGCTCATATTTAATTACCTTAATGTAGGAATGAATAAATAATGGATTGATGAATAGCTTATGGAACGCGATAAATAATACAAAAGCAGACCAGGGCTCTGGGTTGCAGGCGCTGGCAGAGTGGCTTCTCTCTGGGTTGGCTTCAGCTCCAAGAGCCAAATCTAATTTCCTCCCAGCCCCCAACCTTCAGCACCCTCCAAAGGGCACAAGTACTCTGAGCTGGATAACATTTCCCTGATTCTCAAAGGGCCGCCACTATTTAGAATCAGGCGAAAAGCTGTTTAAAGCATAGTTGCTGAGAATACAGCGACACAAAGATTCATTTGCGTTTGGGTATCTTGACTTTTCAATGGCTTAAATTGACAGCCTCCTAGACTCAGTTTCCCCATCCGCAAGGTTGCGTTTTCCAATGCCACCTCTGCTGCTAGGAAATGCCGAGAAGCTTTACTTGTCATTAGCAAAAATGCTTTGGGAACCTCCTTCCGAAGGTGCTGGATGGGGTGTAAATTAAATAAAACTGAGCCCAGCTCCAGTAACCTCCGGTTGTAACATAATCCTTGCCCTGCTCTGAGAGGGACACTGCCCTCAAAACTAGAAGGACAGTGGCTCCAAGAAGATTAAATAAAGAGGTGTGTGTGTGTGTGTGTGTGTGTGTGTGCGCGCGCGCGCGCGCGCGCACCCGTATATTGCAATGCTTGCCTATTTTGCTGCCAGAGAATGAGAGATGTCCTGTAATTTAAGTCCCATCATCTGCTATTTTGTTTATGTGTAGAGAATACTTAGCAAAACTGCACAAACAAATGAAGCTGTAATTATCTTAAGCCTCATTTGCACACCTTGTTCCGAAGCAATTATTTAAAAGATTTTGAAGACAATTAGCCTCTATAAACAAAGATAATCTATTGTCAGTAGCTGAGACTGGCAGGAGATAAGAACAATGTGTAGAGATAAGGAAAGCCAAATGGTGGAAGGAGAGTGACTTTATGACTACACTTATCTCTGATTAGATAAGTTCAAAACAGAATTTTAAGTACACTTCAAAAATGCTTTTGATTTCAATGCTCCCTCTTAGTGAATGGTGAAGAATAAACTTTAGGCTCTTTAAACTTGGTTGTCCTCTTTAAACATGTTTTGATTCCATCAGCCAAAGAGCACAGCACCACAGAAGCTTTTACATATTGAGATGTAAGTGGGAGAAGGAGAAACGTGTGGGTGTCCAGTGTATTATTTATATGGTTTTAAAATAATGTACCTAGTCCAGTGCCCCTTGCAAGATAACATTTTAAACTCATAAAGAGTTCCCATCCCAGGGTTACCTCTCAGGAGACAGGAAGCTGCTTCTCTGCTGGGCTCCCACACAATGCTTTCTGCATCCTTGAAACTGTGTGTCCCATGCACCTTTGAAACAGATGCTGATATTTCATTAAATTTGGGCTTATTTTTAAAATGCACTTAATGGGTCTGTATTATTTCAAAAGATCCCCTACCACATTATGCGCCCAATGACTTACTTTCTTAACTAACACTGTTGAGCCCAAGGCCATGTGTCTGGTAATTTTCCCTCACTGTCTTATTTTAGTGCTCATGACGTTTCAGATGAAGTCTTAAGGAGCTGCAGTGTCCTGCCAAAAGGAATGCCTCCGCTTGGAACCGTCCTCATTGACACGGCAGCTGTGTGAGGACTGGAATGGGGGCTTAAACGGGTTTTAAAAATCAGTACCTTAAAGTCACGAGCAAATGTGCACAATTAAAACGAGGAGTGAGGGTGTCGGTAGGCACAGTTACATCTCTTAAAAGACAAAGGGTATGTTGAGTTCAGGGTGTGCTTTGCAATTGAGTTTTCTCTAAGGATATAAGGCATAGCTTGAACGCATAAGGGCAAACATAAATTTACAGGATCACAAGAGAGCAGAGAGATGGCAATTAGACACCAATAAGGACCACCTTTTTTCTGCTTTTTCCAGACCTCCCTGCCCACTTCTTTTCATCTGTCTTCAAAAGGAACTGGGATGTACTAACCCAGATGTTAATGACAACTGGGAAGATGACTGTGTGGGTGCTGTGATTGCAGGCGCTGAGAGAGGTGCTTGTCCTCAGAGGCCTGGTGGTCGGATCCGCCAGCCTTTACCCTCCGGTTTGATCCAGTAGATCGCATAACTATAAAGAAAAAGTTATGCGCTTTGTACCAAAGAGCCTACCTGCTATTTCGATCCCTTGGTTAAAAGGAACCAATTGTTATAAATGTTAATTATTGGCTCGGATATATAAGGTTTCCCAAAATGGAGCCTTTCACTGAAAACCACTAAAAGAGGTAAAATGACATGAATTTACAAACCACATAAACCAAATGATCCATTTTAAATAGCACACAGAAAGGTTTGAGTTGTTCTGTAACATAAAACCTTTGCTGTCAATGCAAATCGCATGAAAAACAGAGATGCGTCGGAGATTTAAAGGGAACGGAGCAACTCCTGCTAGCCTGCTGCTGCTGCCCTAGCCTCATCTGGGCTTCTAAGGGTAACACGGCTGGTGATCCGCACCCGTTGTCGGGTTTCGGCTCCTGTGTGCCTCTGCTGTGCCGGTAATGGTCGGGTGCAAGGAGCCGGTGGACCAAAAAGTCAATGCGAAAACATTAAAAGCTGCTGGGGTTTCTTAGCTGGGTTGGCATAAGGCCTTGGTTCAAAACCCTATAGTTGAGACGTACTTTTTCTCTTCTGGTTTGAAGCAAGATGCTTTAGGGTTTCCAGCCCGCTTACTTGGAATTCCTTCGCCATCGAGAACCAAGGCACGGATCCTACTCTACCTACAGATACCTGGAAGGGAAGGTGTTTCTCCAGTAAATTAGCGACATCGCCCTGGGGCAGTGAGGAGACTCCCCAAGTCCGAGCTGAAGTAACAACATTCATCTTTTTCCTCTGTTTAGTCCGAAATTCCGGATGCCCTCGACCCTTGGGAACCCGAGCTCAGATGGCCCGCGCCGCGCGGGAGCAGCTGTCCACCTGCCTTCTGCGGGCCTCCGCTCCCCGCGAGGTCTGAATAAGCCGAGGGCTCAGGCTGGGCGATTTGCGGACTCAGAGAAGAGAAACTCAAAACCAGTCCATTAGTAAATGAGTTTTGTGTTGTCAAGGTTCTTTCCCATCCACTTGCTGTTCTGAAAAATAGATCACGTTTCGTTATCTTTAGTGGGAATCTGCAACGTGACACCGGATCCGCGCGGCCCCTGCCTCCCTCCCTCCTTCCATCCCTCCCAACCTCACTCTGCCAGGCTGAGGAGAGCTGGCCGGCCTCCTCGGCTTATTTCAGAACAATGAGGATTTGTCTGTTCCCCTAATGTATTTATGTATGTATGGAGGGAGGGAGGGAGTTTTCTCCTGGAAGCGGGAAGCGCTTGAGCAGAGGTCCTGCTTCCTTGGTGCGAAAATGCTGGGCTGGCCCAAAATGCTGGCAGACCGCCGCCCCCTCCCACACCTGGACAAACAGAGCCAGCTGGGAGCCCTGCCTGCCAGTACAGCTTCTGAAAACGCCCTCTCCACATTGTTCTGAGGTTGGGGAACTGGAGACAGACGGACACAGAAACCAGGAGCATAACACCTCTAAACACATAGACCCCAGCTCTGTTCCCATTCGATCTGAGCTCACGCACACACAGACACCCCTGTCTTCTCTTGCCCAACCTCGACACACACAAATACACAGAGAACACAGCTTCGTGTTTGGAAGTGTTTATACTCTGTCTCCCTGTGTGTCTATCTCATTCTTTCTGTCCTCTGGCTTAAAGAGGAAACCCGTGTGTTCTATCTGTATACGAACCAGTATCTCATTCTTTCATTCATTGTTCCTCTCTCCCTCTTTCTCATTTATTCCTCCTCTTCTACTCTCTTCCTCTCTCCTTCCCTCCTACTCCTCTTCCCCCTATTCTCTTCCTCTCTCCCGCCTTCCCTCTCCCTCTTCTTTCCCTCCTTTCTTTTCCCCACCTTCTCTTCCCCTCCTCTACCCCTCCTTCCCCTCTCCTCCCCTTTCACTCCCTGTGGTTTTGGGTGCCTATTTCTTCTAGTCCGGGACTAGGCGCAGTGAAGTTTCACAGGCAAAGTTGCTTATGTCGCTCACAGAGGCAGCGCAGAACCAATAGACTCCAGGCGAACGCATCAGGCTCAGTGGGGACCTTTTACGTTGAGTGGGTGGCTCCGGCTATAGGTGGAGGGGGGCGTCTTGGGGACAACAGAAGAAGGTAGGCTTCCCCTTGAGGAGAAAAGGCTGACTTCAGCGGCGTTCTAAAAAGTCTCAGGCTCAGGGATTTGCCAATCGCCAGATTTAAGCCAGAAAACCCCACCCAACATCAGATGACAAGCAAGCACCTTTTGGAAAGTGGAGCGATGATGCTACAAGAAATCAGTTCTTAAGAATTTAAAACACACGGCCCCCTTCTCTCTTTAAATATCGCCTTAGGCAAGTTTACAAAATGAAACTCTCTGAGAGTGCTTATCTTCCATTGAATTTCCAATCAACTTTTTTACCCCCTTCAACTAATGTACATCCTGAATACCACAT